GGCGGAAGCGCGCCAGCACCGGCCGCTCCGCCTGCCCGCCGCCCCTGCCAGGGCCGCGCAGCACCTCCGCCCGGCTGCCCCCAGCCACAAGCAGCTGCGGGCCAGGATCTCCCTGACTTCTGGGCACCACGGAGAAGAGGCTGGCCCCATGCTCTCCACGCACCCCCCCTCGCCCCCCACTTCACAGACTGGTACACGTTGGGGAGATCGCCTCGCCGGCTTCTCTTCTCCCGGCTAAAGAGGCCCAGCTCTCGCAGCCTTTCTGCAGAGGAGAGCTGCTCCAGGCCCCTCAGGAGTCAGCCACTGCCCCCCACTTTAGTAGCAGCAGCAAACTTGCTGAGGGCGCACTCCGGGCCTTCCTCCAGGTCATCGAGGAATCACAGCATCACAGAATGGTTGAGGTTGGAAGGGACCTCTGGAGATCATCTAGTCCAACCTGCCTGCTCAAACAGGGTCACCTAGAGCATATTGCCCAGGGTGGCGTCCAGGCGGGTTTTGAATCTCCCCAGGGAAGGAGACTCCACTGACCTTCCTCACCCGGCTCCCAACCAGCAACAGGGACACAGGGCTTCCCCAAAGCAGCGCTGACAGGGGACATGGGTGTATAAAACCACTCATTCTGATGCAGAGGCCAAGCTCAGGCACTGTGCTCTCTGCCCCCACCCAGGAGCTGGGAATAGGCAGGGCAGCAACAGCTGCTGGCTTCAGCACTACCGGGGAAGCACAGACAGCACACAGCAACCCTTGCCCCACTGCTGGAAGGGCTGGATGTCAGCATGGACACAGCAGAAGGGGATGGTGAATCTCTGCAGCACACAGGAGAATCACCTACCCCCCGGCCAGACGCCGTAGCCTCTTCCCAGCCTGGCCACTGCACCCAGCCCCTCTTGCTGGGGCAGCCATGCAGGGGAGCAGCCCTGGCATGCCTCTCCAGGGGGCTGTGGGCTAGGTCGAGGTGGCAAGTTCTCCCGCAGAAGCCCAGCCTGATGGGCTGCCAGAACCGCAGTCAGAGGCGGCAGATGCTGAGTGGAAGGGGTCTGGGTGTCACCTCCTCGCCCAGATCCCAGGGAAGGGGCCCAGGGACAAGGAAGGCCCTTCCCCACTGCAGCCTGGAGCAGGCAGCCATGCCCCTGAGAAGTTCGGAGGTGAGGCTGGGGTGATGCACAGCCCCATGGCCTCTGCCGCACCACAGAAGGCAGAGCAGGCATATCGCGGGGACTGGGTTTATTCAGGGTCCATGCAGTGACCCCTACTATTGATCCACGTTCTTGACACGCAGGACGACAGGCACCGAGGTGCAGGGGATCATGCCCAAGTCCGTGATGACCATGTCCACCAGATCGGGGGGTGTCACATCGTAGACCAGGTTGAGGAGGCGCAAGGATTTGTTCTCTGCCCAGCCACTGAGCTGGGCCTGCCCCTTCCGGAGCACAATCAGGTCATCGGGGTCATCTACAGAGAGAGGGAGAGATGCAGCCAGCAGGACCAGGGAAAGGACAACAGGTCTCCATCCTCCCTCGGGAGGTGTGCAACACTGCCACCTGCCGGCCTCAGTGGCCACCCTGCTGCGAGTGGTGACCCACTCCCTGGGAAAGGGGACAGGAGGGCAGCTCATCCTGTCCTGGCCAGCAGCAGGGGGAGGACTGAAGCCATACCCAACTCGTTGGAGACAAAAGAGTCCGTCTGCACCCGCTCGCAGAACTTGTACGTCTCGCAGCACACCAGGACGGGCACGTTGTAAGCCTTGGAGACCAGTGCTATCTGGGACGTCCCCACCCGGGACATAACAGAGCCGTTGGCCAGGAGCGCGTGGGCTCCCAGCAGCACTTTGGTCACCTGTCAGGGATGCACAGAGACCCATTAGTGCCTTTTACCACCCTGCAGCCTCCTCTGTGCCCACTGCCACCCTTTGTACAGCCCCAGTACAGCTCCTCACCTCGGGCAACACATAAGAGATGGCGTTGATCATCACATAGGTGCAGTGAATGCCCTTACGCCCCAGCCGGCGCAGCGTGTCCCGGCCTTCCAGGCGCGGCCGGCTGTCCACTACGATCACGCGGAAGGCATGGCCCTTCTTCACATGGGCGTCACACAGCGTGCGGTTCACCAGGGAAGAGCTGACAGACACGAGTGAGCAGGCTGCTCTGGCCAGCCAGGCCGAGCGCTCACCCACCCGTGCAGCCACCCAGCTGGCCCCGTGCTGGCACCCCTTTGGAGACTGTCCCCAGAAACCAGCCAGGTGGGAGAGGAGACTTTCCTGGCATGGGTTCTGGTGGCGACTCAGCTGCTGCCAGCCAGCCAGGGGTTTGCGGAGCATCAGTGTGGGGGCTCAGCCAGGGGACAGCCCCAGTGAACAGCTTGTCCCAGGGGCTAGGGGTGCTGAGGTCCCAGCCAGGCTGGCTGCCTGCCAGCAGCTGCAACCGAGTGGCACTGCCAGAAC